ACAATGAGGGACAAGATATAAAGCCAAACAATGATGAATCAACGAAGTAAATAACAGCAACATTGCATAAAAAACAATCGTTGTAGCTATTCTTGCATATAATTGCACTAATAAAAATCACATTTACCAAAACCAAATTAAAGAATGGAGAAGACACACACTTACACAAGCATAACTTACAAAAACAACTCAAGAATTGCAAAAGTGCATTAAAAGTAACTAAAAATGAAAAACAAAAACATTTGAATGAAGGAAGCATACGTACTATCCCAAAGAGCAGATTCTAAAGATGGAATTCCCATCAGAGAAAGCCAAAGGTTAGTGCAAGTGAAATGTTGACTGCAATCTGGATATAATCTATGAGTGCTTGAGAGAGTTTGGTTCACAAAGGAGCTAAGAATGGAAAGGATGAGTAGTAGACCAGAGAGAGAGAGAGAGAGAGAGTGCAATCCAAGAATCTCGGATTCAACATTTGTTCATCATTTCTATCATATTCCCTACTCTCAATTTTGATATATAGCCTCAGCTTTCTTCTAGACGACTTCTATGGCACAGACTACGACAAACTAAATAAAACGCTGCTTACAGGGCTGAAGAAAACATTGTGTGTTACAATCCCTAACACCTAATTAATCAAGTGAAGTGCAATGGCCACCTGCAATATATACTCCTCAATCTTCAATTCTATATGCCAAAATCTTCTCCCCAGATTGAACTTGTAACAAAGCTGAGACAACATCAGAGAGTCTGCGTCTCCTTAACATCTGATTACGATGAGCCAATGTTGCATGGTACTCAAAGCTTCGTTTCTCAGGCCAGTTTCTAGTCAAACCAGCATAATTCTTGAATGAAGCGGAGAACCTGTGGTGCATCTTGAAAGTAAAGATGCGACTTGACAGGTTTTACAGATAACCCAGATTTGTTATCAGCAAAAAGAAAGTTAGTTTCATTGAAGATCTCATTTTGAAATCGCATAGCTTAAGAAAGACAAGATCTTGATTCAACTAAAAGAGGGGATTTTGTATGCGTGTGTTATTAGTGAAAGAGAGTAGTAGTTAAGGAAAGGTTTTTTCTTGCATGTCTCGCGGGAGATCGATGGGGTCTATATTTTATGTTTTGGTATTAGTAGTCATTATAGAATTTTGTAATACACGAATCAATTTTTTTAATATAAAAAAATATATAGACATTATTATAATTAATTTTTTAAAATTATAAGAGCATTTAACTTAGTGAGTTTAAAAATAACTTAAATGATTGATAAAAATATAGTTTGATTCAAAATAAATATTCATGATGAAATTCATTTAATAAATATTGAGATGAAAATATATTGGGTTAATTTAGATTAACTCGGGTTCATCTATTAATCTATATGTTAGGTCATAAATAGATAATAAGATCGAGATAACCCTATAAAAAATAAATCAAAGTTAAATATGAAACTTAATTTCCAATAAATCTAATATTGAAGAATTAAATTAAAAAAATAATAAAAAAAACCTGAGTTAACTCATGTTAATTTGTCAACCCCGTAACCTAAGTTATGAAACTGAGATAACCCAAAAGAAAGTAAATTAAAATAAATTATAAAGTTCAATTCATAATCAATTCGGTGTTGAAAGATAAAATTAAAAAAATAATTAAAAAATGACATAAAAAATAACTCAAATCAACCTGAGTTAACCAGCTAAACCTGTAACATAAGTCATGAAATGAGGATAACTTCACAAAAAATAAATTTAAATAAATCATGAAATATAATTATCAAGCAAAACAATGCTAAATAATAAATTTGTGAAAATAAATTGATAAAAAAAAGAAAACAATCAAGTCAATAGATCAAATCTGCAATCCAAATCATGAGACTTAAATATCTCACAATAATTAAATTAAAATAAATTATAAAATTTAATTTTCAATAAACCTAATGTTGGATGTAATTGAAATTAAAAAAAAAACTCCAAAAAATAAAACAAAATATTATTTTAATAAATAATGTTTTGCAAAGAGAGGTATAGTAAAATCCACTCTTTTTATTTAGTTTTTTTTGTTAATTAATATTTTAATTCAAATTTATAATTTTTTCTTCTAATCTATATTTATTTAAAAATATTTTTTTTATATATTTTTTTTTAATTTTAAATTTAAAATAAAAATTAATAAAAAAAAACAAAATAAAGAAATGGTATTTGGTGCAGAGCTAACGACGAGGCCTCGAGGGCATGTGGGACTTGAATTGAAAGATGAAAAGGGTGGGGTATTGAAATGCATGCCTTTCTTTTGCCAAGGTTGTTAATTTTGTTACAGTTGATATTTAAATAAATAAATTAGAATGATAAGCTTTGATTTTATAGTATTTCGGCATGCGAGGTTGTATTGTGTGTGTATATATATAACATTTAAAATATATAATTTTAATTCAAATTTAAAAATAAATTAACTTAAAATTATACATTTCAAATTTTAAACATAATATTAAGTATCTAAATATAATTTTAAATTTTAAATATTTCTCTAGATCATTAGCCCGCATTATGTTGCGGGTTAGTTGAACTTTTTTTAATATAAAAAAATCCAGGTGCAACTAATATTTTTATAATAAAAAATATTTAAATAATATAATAGTTAATTTGATGTGATCCAATCGACTCGATATAATCAACCAAATGTGGGTCATGAGACTAATAATTTCATAAAAAACAAATAGAAAAAAATAATAAATTCTAATTCATAATAAACTAAATGTTAAAGATGTTAAGCGATGAAATTAAAAAAATAAAACAAACCAGAAAAACCTCGTGTAAAAATCAACCTTCAAACCCAGGTCCTGAGAATAAAATAATCACAAAGAAAGCAAATAATAAAAAATTATAAAATTCAATTTTCAATAAATTAAGTGTTGAATGATGAAATAAAAAAAAAAATTATTTATAAATCAAAATAAAACTAGAACATCTCAACTAAAATTTAATTAAGAAGTCTAGAATGAAATAAGATTCAAAGCAAAATAAAATTTTTACAAATTGTTTCATTTTTTTCTAAAATTATAAAATATATGCTTCCCATTTCGAACATAATAAAATGAAAGTGATAACTTTGCTTTTGGCATGCATTATATCATGTGTTGAATCATTTTTTTTCCAACTCTTAAAAAAATATAAAGACACTAGTAAGTAAAACTTTTGATGCTTACCGAATAAAAAAACTTTTAAAATATTGAGATAACATATATCATGTGATATTATTTTTTAAAATAATATTGAGATAATTACATATTAGATCGACTCAAACCAACCATAATTTACTGCGATAACCCCATGAACCCAAATAAAAACAAAATAGAGAAACCATTTCTAATAAATAAAACATCATGAAGTGAGCATATGATGCTTATATTTAAGTAATAAATTTAATTTAGTATAAAAAAATTTCTTTCAAAAAAAGATAAATTTAAAAAATAACATATGCAAATAAAAAAAGACCCAAGATAACCCAAGTCACTTTTAAATTAGTGAAAGATCTCATAAAAAGAAAATAAAAATAAAATAACAGAGGCTAATATTAAGTTAAATCAAATAATGAAAGATGAAATTGAAAAAACATGAGCTTAATAAAAGAAAAAAATAACAAATTAATCCTAACGAATCTCATAAAGTTGGGTTAATTTCATAAATTTACAACTTGTCAAATCTTAAAATTAGCTTAACCAAGAAACATAATTAAATGTTAAAAGACAATATTAGACAAAAGATTATCAATTGAAAAAGTTTGTCAAAGTACAAAAATAGTAAACAAAAATGGAGAATAAAATCATAAAAAGAAATCAACTTTAGAAATGATGCAAATAAAATAAATAATGATAAGAAATAAAAATTAAATATGATAGATTAGGAAATTGAATAAGTATGAAATTGAAAAAAATATAATTTTATAAAATAATTAAAATTAAAAAAACATAGACTAAATCTAAATAAAAAAAAATGAAGAATAAAAAAACAAATTGAAGGAAGGTTAGACATGTAAATTAAGGAGGAAAAAGAAAAAAATAAAAAAACAAACAACCAATGCCAAACGAGAGGGAATTATCTATATGCATCGCCGAGGAAAGTAGGTCTCATATGTTATGAGTTTGTTTTTTTATAAAAAATAATATTTAGATGCTGCAAGTGTATTTAGAGAAAGAAAAAAAAATTATACCTCGAGTTATAGCTCTAATTGATTAAAAATAAAGACAATGATTATAAATGAAAAAAGAAATGATGATGATAATTTTGAAAAAAATATTTTTTCAAGAGAGATAAAATGATATTGTTCAATTTTCATCAAATTAAATATTAATAAATAAAATTAAAAAAATTAATTACATAAAAGAATAAAAAAATAAAAATTAAAAGAATAAAAATAAGAATAAAAAATAAATTAGAGGGAAATTACAAGTTTTTGATTGAAAAGTGAAATTAAAAAGAAAAAAATTAAAAAAATGAGGATAAAATTGAGAAAAAATAATATATTATAATGTAGAGTGAAGAATGAAATTAAAAAATGATAAAAATTTTACAAAAAAAATAATTAGAAATTAATTGAATAAGGATTAAAGGTGAAATGTTAATAATGAAGAGGACCAATTAAAAATTTTCAAGAAGAGAAGAGAAAAAACGGGGAAAAAATGGTGAGAAACGACCCCCATCTATTTTGTGATCCAATGACATAGTGGCAAGAATGGCGTGGAATTTGGTCGAGGGGCTAGTTTTGAGCTTTTATTGGTTCCACTATTTGAGGCTCCATGTTTTTAGACAGATTGAGAAAAGGAATGATGACGGGATGATGGCAGGTTTCTTGTTCTGATTGTTCTCTGTCATACTGGTGGTTTCAAGTTCTTAACCTTGCTAAGGGGCAAACCCCTCGGTTTTCACTAACAACTAGCAGGGAACAGCTAATCATTCCAACAGCTCAAGAACAGAAGGAGACGTCTATGAGCTATATGGATGAACACTAGGTAAATGCAGTTCTTTTTTCTTTCTTTTTCTTCATGAAACGAAATAGAAAATCCACATCCAAAAAGGCTTCATCTTTTGATCAAGCAATATGTACAAGATACAAGTGGCTCCTTTTCATCTCATTCTATTTACAGAGGAGAGCCGCACGGCATAGATGGGGGGAGATAACAAGAACAAAATAACTTATGCTTGTACTAATCAACACCACAAAAAATAGTACTAGTGGAGCGAAAAAATCCCATTTGAAGGACGATCTCATTCTTTGGACAACCATCCCAAAACTCTCTCATATTGGAGAGGTAGAGGTGAAGCCAAATTTATCAGTGAGTTTGGTTCTTGTAAATGGTGAAAGAAGCTCCATTTGATGAATGAACTGAACATCATGAACCAATGGATTATCAGTTCTTCCCGGAGGAGATCCTGAGTAACAACATGGTGAGCACCCTGTGCACATGGTTTCTCCACCATCAATTGCCTAACAAATAGACATCCATATCAAAATCATAACTAGGCACCAGCTACATGATCAAAGCCTGAAATTATGTTATTACTAAGTACTAACCTTATCAGCAACAAGGCTCAGAATTCCACTTCTTTCTTCAGTAATTGGCTGGCTGACGATGAAAAAATCCAAATGAGATTAGAGTAGTGATACAACATCAAAATAGTTACACATTCATGAACAAGTTCGTACCAATGCTTGCTACATCTGAAGGGCTTGAGAAATTCCGGTAAAGCTGGTCCAAGCCGGCGGGGTTTTGGACAAAGGGGTTGGTTATTGTCTCCAAAACCTTTCTTGGTTGTGTTTGAACCTGAATCAACTAGATTGCTTTTTACTGGTAGACGATACATCTTTCCTAGTGACGTAAAGAAGCGAAACAAAGTCACAAGCAAAAGAACACAGCCTTCCTGTGACTTGCAAAATTTCTACTTTTGTTATGCATTAGCATTCACTCAAGTGATGGCAAATGGAATTTATCCATTTGTTCACCGAGCCTAGCCACACAATTGTCAGAGAGAGAGAGGGAGGGAGGGAGAGAGAGAGAGTGTGTTTGGAATGGGAGCTTAATTACTGATCAGTGGAGCCACAATGTTTTCTTGACCTTGTTCAAGTAAAAGAGAGCATTTACATGGATAAGATTAACTGTAGGTTAGGCCTTGAGCTTGACTAGTTGGCTTTGATCTCCTAATTTTTCTCTGTTTCTCATGTTGCCTCCAATTCATTTGGTCCAAGTATTTGATCCTCGTTTTTTAACATTTTATGAACATGTATTTGCAATGTCTTTCATACATGAATGTGGTGTGACAATCATGTGGCAACTAATTTGAAAAGGCATGAACCTTCACATTTCTAGCATGGAGTAGACAAAATTTTGGACCATTTCGTTTCGTTTAAAAGAATAGGCTTTGTTCCACCAATTGTTAAAACGGAAAGAAAGAAAATTATTATAATTTCTAAAAACCATGTTCATGGGGATCAGAAACAAAATGGTAGCGTTATCCATAAAAGCGAAATTTCTTTACACAAGTACCTCGTTAAGTTCTTTCCTTTACTACGACGCATCCCTATTGAGCAAAAGAGCAATAGAGGTCCCTACTATTTTGATAGTTTCCTTGGCTATAAATAATGATGATTCTGCGGACAATTCAGCGCGAGGGGGGACAGTGACAAGTAGTGAGGTCTCATGCGGATGGAAGGCTTGGGGAGATTTTTCTGGTGAAAAGCAATTTTAAAAAGAAACACTTGAACGCAAAAACAAACACCGACTACGATTGCATTTGTATTTGCTGAAAGCAAAGGGATGGTTTTAACTTCTGTATGTGTGGTCTCACGGTTCAAACTGCAATGAGCTCAATATAAAGCTATCGCACAGTATCTTGCATCAGATCCTTCACTAAACCCAGTCTACATCCAGTGCTGTCAGTAACAATAGCTTATGTCCATGCAAATTTTACAAGCTATCAGTCCGGAATTCAACACAAAAAAGGATATGGGTCCAAACTATACAAATTGGATATGCAAACTTCACAGCAGAACGTACAAGAAGATAAATCTCCGTACATAACAAACAGTAGCATATACATTTCCTATACAGGACCTGAAACTAATGGGACGCTGTCAAAAATGCTCTTAAAATTTCAGTTCTGATGTGCTGGAAAAATGGAAAGCAAACCATCATAGACTTTCGTAATGGAACTATCATATCTTTTTACTTGAGCACACAACGAGGACATCAAACAAGAGAATAACCTTGCCTAGGGAATTCCCAAACAATCATTTGAAGCACCTTTTCTGCCTTTTTATATCAAATTTACGGGAGTCCATATTTCATGAACAAAAACCCAATCTCTCTTCAATCGTTTCTCCCTTGAATTCCCACTTCGTCAACCCTTATTCGTTGATTGCATTCAGCAAGGGCTTCATAAGTGTCTTGCGAGCAGTGCAACAATGCAAATTCCAGTAATCAACAGTTTCGACAATCCACCACCTAGTCTAGTTTCATATTAAGGTTTTAAAAAAGCCCATGCCCCATAATAATCTAGATAAAGCTAGCCAGGATGTAAATATCCTCCTAGCCAGGATGTAAATATCCTTCAAAAAGCAAGTAGACTATTTAATGAAGCACATCAACAAGTTGAAATCTAAAAGAAATTGATCTAGGTTTATGATGGAAGTAAAGAGAAGTTAGTCTTATAACATTTACCGCGTTTCAAAATAAAAGTAGCAAGAAAATCTTGCTACAAGATAGAGTTAAAAGGTAGTTCTAGAAAAGGAACGACATATTGTACAAACCTAAACAACGCACACAAAGACTAGAAAGATGTACATAAGGGCAAAACAGCACAAGCGATGAATTGATTAGCTGCATACAGTTGTTAAGCTTCAAATCAAGAATAATATGAATCCCAGTCAAACCTGGGTTGTGAGAATAACTCGTAATCAACAGGTCCATCTACAATGCTGTCAACAGCTTGCATACCTTCCAAAAGAGCTGGCTGAAAACCATCATTATCAGAAGGTAATAATTTGTACATTATTAATATTCCAAGTGTGAAAATGGCTTGCAACTTTGTGGAGTCACCATGAACCGAGAAGAACAGAAGCATTGATAGAAGGAATAAATCAACAGAGAAACGCATAATACACAATACAGTATCCATCAGCCTCCCATCATTTCCAGCAGGAAAACCCCGAACTCTATATACAAACAGAAAGTTGTACTTGTCCACCACATACCTATACCCAAAGTAAACTGCACCAACAGGGACCACGAGCGGAGCAAATGATGAATATATCAATGTCAGTGTGAATATTGTCAAATTAAATGCATAATATTGAGCAAAATCAAATGTCTGCTTGGGAATTGGAGAGGTTCTGCTGATTGGATAAACAGAGAGATCTTGTCCCTCTTCATCAATTACATTTGACCTGGGAGAATCAAACATATTATCAGGCATCAGAGGTCTCTGAAGAGCATCTATGGCTTGATCTACCAAAGGGTACTCTTCACCCTGCTCAGGCACCAGCTGAAGCATGTCATTCTTCCTATACTTCTGAATCTTCTTCTTTATCCATGGGATAGGAGCCAATAGATCATAAGATATACCCAAGAAAGTACTTGTGATTAGAAATGCAAGTGAAGAGAGACACGATCTTGACAGAAATGATGCACTCATGTATTGCTCGATCCTCTTGCAGTCTTCTCCATCCAAATAACATCTACCCATTTTTAGGATTGTACCTTCCAAAGAAGACTCAACCAGAGCTCTCAACAGAATGAGGTTTACAAGGAAGAAACAAACCATCTTCAAAAGCACAGCTCTTTGCTCCCCGGAGACAGTCAGATGACGTTCAAACTTGGACATATAAGAGAGAACCAATGGAACTATTATATACATGCTCACAAAGATAATAAGATTTGGCAGGAACTGGAAGATTAGAGACGCAAACCAGCTGGAACTCTGTACCCAATCCAACCATGATTGTGCATTATCCATAGCTTCTGCATCAATAATTCGCCCAGCACTATTCAAAGCACTTATCACAGCAAGAGGAGAGCTAAAGAATAAAAGCATTAACAGCAAGCAAGTGTTCACAAACAATCTCCTCAACCTCAGAGACAACTTTGACGACCCCAAATGATTCCAGTAAATATCTGCTGCCAATGGAGCTCGTTCCACTTTCCACTGGTTCCTCTGCAACCTCAACTCCATGACAGAAGAGAACTTACCGACCCGCCTCTTCTTCTCATTCCGAAAATCCTGAACAGCTTTATTAGCTGTATAAACATCCTTAAATATCACAAACGCAACTCCAGAACTTGGCGCACGACCTTCTTTATACTCTGCCAACTCCGACTCCAGCTCCACCCTCAATTCTTGTAATCTCCTCAACTCCTCTTCATCTGTATACCCCAACTTATCCATCATCTTACCCCACCAATTCTTCACATTTCTCCACAGCCAAACCACCCCACCTTGCAACTGCTCCCAAAACCCCTCTCCACCACCAACCCCCTCATTATCTTCAGGCAAAAGCCTCGAGTCAATTTTTGCAACCAACCAAGTAATTTCATCCCTAACTCTAACCAATTCCGTCGCTAAAACATCCAATGCACACAAATCCATAGGCATAACAACTTTATAAATCTTACCAGGATACCAATGCTGAAAATAGTCTTGTAAAACCCTCCTATCATCCCCTATACTTTTAGGCAATCCTTGAACCATAATAGTAAAAATAGCAATAGAATTCGCATTTGGGTCACTTAAGTTCCCATTCCCATCTCTAAATCTAGTGACTTTAAGCCTCTTTTCAATCAAAGACATACCAAAATGAGCTAAAAGCACAACAATAACAACGAAAACAAAATGAATCCAAAGAAAGTTTGAACCTTTCTCAATATGATTAATAGTAGTCTTTGAAAACTCATCGTTTATAACTTGACTCCCTCCATACATATTTAAAGGAAGCAAGACACAAATTGATAAAACCCCAATTGACAAAACAACAACAAAGCTTCCACCTTCAATTATAAGGAACTGGGCAGCGTCAGCACCACAGTGAAGGGCGATTTCACGGCCGGTAGCGTGCCATACGGCGAGGAGTTTGGTGGCTAAGGCAGAGAAGCCAGGCATGCGGCGATGGTCGCTGCGGAGCTTGGCGAAGAGAAAGATAAAGATACAAAAGAAGAGACCGATTGTTGAGATGTTAAGAAGATATTGGATGTTTCCGTACCATGGGTCGGGTATAACGGTGTCTCCGCCGGAGGGTGGTGGAGAAAGAGGGTGGCTCATGATATGGGTGGAGGAGAACAGAGAGTTTCCGCCTTTGGGTGTCTCCTGGTATTTTCTTTGTAGTGAAGGTAATGTGTGCCTCGTTTTGGAGGGGCCTCAAGCGCAAGCTCTCGAAGATTTATGAGATCCGATGCCTTCCTTGCATGCGGCACTTGGTTTGTACTATTTTTAAAAAAAAAACAAAATTCCTACCTCATTAATCGTTAACAAAATACACAGCTAAATCATTATATTCATAGCAATAAATATTATTTATATACTTTTTTTTTCAATTTCAATCTTTATTAAACTAAAATTTCTTCTTTATTTTTTTTTAATTTCATCTTGTTTTGAAAATAATGCTTCTTAAATTTTTTTATATGATATAATATGCAAAACCATTGATAAGATTGATATTAATTACTTTTTATATTAAACATAAATTTTTTTAAATCAAGCATATATAAATGATTTTTATAAATAGTAGATCTATAATAAACATCATTATTATAAAAAGAACAATATTTATCTTTAATAATAATTTTAAATTCAAATTCATTTAAAGCTAAATAAAAAATGATATGATATTTCTAGAAAATGCTTGAACAAAATAAATTCTCTATTACCAACTTGCATATTTATTTTACTTTTTATTCAATCATAAATATATATGAAATAAGAGTTTCAATAAGTTTTTTAGTTTTCACCCTTTTTTTTCTTTGATGCTCCAAATAAGCTTTTATTTATTTTGATGCAAAGATCACAAGACTAAATTAACACATAATTCATATGTCATGATAAAGTCTAATTAATCTAATTTATCAAAATAACTAGTCATTTTTATATTAAAAAACATAGGTAAAGGAACCCTTATATTATCTTGCAAAAAAATAATTTCTTAGAAGTTTTATATCTTTTAGTCCTACTAATTACATTAAAAACCTCTTTGATCATAATCATAGCATGAACATTTATATTCCTG